GGTCTAGACTGTTTCAAGCCTCGTAGACTACTGACCTGTTTTGTCTTAATTAACCTGACAAGAATGCGCTCACAAGCGGATTATTTATCGATTTCATTTTTACAAAAGGTGCTTGTTCCATAATCTGTTTGGCACATGCAGTCCGGATTCAGAACAACGTGAATTACTCGAGCTATTTAGTTTTTCGATTAGCACACTGCAATCAAATTGGGTTTGATGCTTTTCTGTCGTAGATCTGATTAGGCTGTCCAACCAGTCGCCAATTTGTTTCAATACTCATGGTACCGCAGAAAAACCCACTGAACCTGTCCGAATCCCGTCCCCTCGGGATGGCTCAACCTCTCCATCAAACAATCACTACAAGATAAAGTAAAATACAAAACCGCACATGATTTATCTGTTTCATGATGTACAGTGTTGCTATCTTGCTAGTCTCAGACTTATAGTCTGATTAGTTGCCCGGGTCTATGAATGCACACTTCCGTTTCGACCCAACAAAGTCGAAGCAATTGTACAGTGTTTCTTAGATTTTCAGTTGCAATTTATATTCACATCATATCACTAATAGCTTTTACCACTTCGCACGACAGGTAAAATGCGCCGCAAAGAGTGCCTTCTGGCATACTACGATAACGACAGTTTTCGAGCTACGTATGCCCAACGAAGATTTCTGAGCAGTGCCACTAGTTTTTTACAAGTAAGTTAATTCTAAAAAATGATCTCGTTCTGTTTTTATTGCTGTGCCTGACCACCTCATCGCTCAGATGAATTGAACGTGCGTGGTTCTTTCTGCTTATCTGGTGGCTTTTCTTCAGCTGAACTCCCCTTGCTCTACAAAAACCATAGGTCAATGAAAAATGGTAAAAATGTTGCATATCCGTCTTCGGGCTGCGTCACACTGACCGTCGACCAACGACCGCAGTGCTTCTTGACCCAAAAGGAACATTCAATTCAGTTGACCGCGAAGCTTTAGTGGGTTAGCTTATCCGAAAACAAATAACCTAGAAGTATGTTTAATTACTGAAGTCACCGAGTCTAGGGTCTAATGTGTTCATTCGTCATCAGCAGCGGTGTTCATCATGGTGCCCCATTTTGCCCCTCCTGTTCGCTTTTGTCGTAGGCGAAACATTGGAGAGTGCAGTAGGTAGTCTACAAAATGTTGGTATTGAATAAGCAACTGGAGAAAGGCTATGCACCTTCGAGTACTAATGTGACATCGTTTGTCTGTTCAAATGTATGGAGGACGCACAAAGTGCATTTGACAGACTAACAAGTTCTGTGAATTGATTCAGTATGCATTTTGCACCTGTATTTCGCTGTACAATGAATTCCGTCAAGGGAAATTAACGTGTTATTAAGATTCTGGCTTATATTTATCTTCTCGATTATTTTTGTTTTTCTGGTTCTCACATTTGTGTGATTGACTGCATAAAGGATGAACCCCACGTTCAGAACAATCTGCTGCTCGGTTTTGGAGAGCGGCGAACTATGCCCGGTGACTCGGAGCAAACTACATGTATGATGTATGAGCCAAACAACAGTGAAACTGCCTACCACTAAAGCTAGGTGTCGTGGGCAGGGTTCGAACCTCATGTCCCGGGGCGAGCCATAAACAGCGAATTAAACCGCTTGGCCTCCATTGCCAAAGCTAAGCATGAGACGGCGATTCCCTGTCAGGGTCCATATATTTTGCCTTTTAAGACGTCAATCAATAACGATAACTTACTAGAAGAAAAGTTAGTAACACTCACTTTTAGGGAAATTAGGGGCGTTTTTAAATTAAAGTATGGGTTCCAAGTGAAGTGATTTTTAATTTCTTTGGTCCGTCATACAATTTAATTTATGGCTGAATTATAAATGTGTGCGTTTAATATTGTTTTATTTCAATACCAAACAAATGAACTGTGATTTCTGCGTTAGTGTATAGATCATATTATGTTGGTGTCTATTGTTTTAGCTTGGTATTCTGAAGGCCTAGTGTTCTTTTTTTAATCTGCGCCTTTCTCATCAAATCGAGTACGATGACTTACTTTTGGTATCCTTCGATGCGTGCAGAGACTCATCCAAACGCTTGCGTTTGTTTTTATTCTTTCATCACCCGCGTTTTGTGGATACATCCAGCCCGCACTCGGTTTATTCAAGATTGACAAATCACAAACTGATTTCTAATAGTGTACGTAAAACGATTACGTACTGGCCCATGTTGTAAATTACTCATTGTTGTTGATTCACACTCATTTCCAGTCGTGTTGGTTCCGATTTGTCTTGTTCGGTAAACGTATCAAGCACTGCGGCCAAATGGCAACTTTCTTCTGTAGATTTAATTATTGGTTTCAAATTTCAACTTTGTGCTAGTTTCGGTCGCCTACAAACCTTCTCGTTTCAGGCCCTGGTTTATCGCATTATTCCGGAAACACCTGAGGTGGAAACCTATCTTCGTGAGCATGTGTCGCGGGTGATTAGTATCGGTGTTGGTCCAGGACCAGACATGGTCGCGTTTGTTGCCTATGCACGTTTACACGGATTCCAACAGCGCTTGGTCTACTATGCAATGGATCAGTGTGCTGGTTGGGGCATGTATCTGGCCGCTTTTGATCGCCATTGGTCGTCCGAGCATCGAGTCTCGGTTTGGTTCAAACAGCACCGATTTGGCAAACGTGAAGACGTCGACACACTGCCTGACGCAGACATGCTGGTTTTCAGTTTCGCCAATACCGCACTCATGGCCAGCACAATATGGCCCTTGTTACAAGCTCGATATCGCTTGATTGTGGTTCTGGATGGGATCAAAGAAGTACGTTTTTAATTGGTCTCTGAAAACTTAGCCAGTGAGCTATAGATACTACGCATTTACGTGTACATGCAAACTCCGTGATAGCAAAGCCTTGCTTTTCTGTTATGTAACTCGATTCTCTTGGCCTCGAGACCCATAGATAAGTTATGCTTAAGAAGATAAAGTCGGAGAGTACAGAATATGGATATGTACTCCACAAAATACGGCAGTTAGATGATTCATGGTCTGTTCGTTATCAATTACCGAGTATCAAGATCAGACCTCTTACGGGCAATCAGAACTTCATGCATACTGATTCCGTTCTGCATTCGTCCACAATCGCCAATTTGTGAACAGCTAATTGGAAGCACATCAACATCATACCAATTCGCTGTATTTTTAACGTACATTTGACAAAGGTGTATCCGACAAGAAAGTGCTGTTTTTTGTTTGCCACAAACTTTTAGAATTGCCTACTGATTATTGTCCTTCCATCGTCCTAATGCTGCGGATAGGAATATCGTCCTAAAGCTATATGCATATTTGTAATGCAACCGTATTTGTACGCATGCATGTCTGCACTGATTCGACGGCAGAACTCTCCAACGTCATCTACACATAGTTGCTAGACGATTAAGTGATACTGCAGTAGTAATTTATCATTTAAATTGTAGGGAGTTCGCTTCAGTATGCATATATGCATCACAAACCGACGGGATGCGTGCATTCGGTTTTCTAGTAGTGGTTACAGATGGCTCATACTCAATTAAAACAACCCTGTTATTGAACCTAACAACAGCAAAATTCTGTGCACTTGGCGCAAAACATAGTGGAAGTGAATAACTCTGTCAAGAGGCTCGCTTAACCCGAGTGACAGCGCTATTTTACCACCGTAATTCGTTTTAGGTCATCTATGGTGCACATGTCATCTGTACTTTGAGGGCCTTAACCGAGGGGAATGCATCTCTTGACAGGCGACTATGGATGAACCTTTTCTCCCCTGGTTGTATACTGTCAACCTGGGGTGGTATGACAAAAGTGGATGAGCTCTGAGATTTTTATTTATTCTTGTGATAGATTCGATTTTCACAAATCATATTGCCGCGGTTGAACAGGAGTGAAGCATTTGTTTGATCTTATGTCTTCCGCTGTATTTCCCCTTCTATCTAGACAACCTAATTGTTCTATTTTTCACGCGTTTAAGTCAATCCGTTTCAAACTCACCTTCGATCTTTCTAATTGTTAAAGGTCGTGGTAGACAGTTTTCTCGATGCCGGGTTCAGAGATTTTACTCTGACAGAAAAGACCAGCGTGTATTATCATTTTGGTGGTGTACCCAAAAAGGCAAATGATCCGGAAACTGCGACAGAAAATGTGCTGTCAGAAGGCAACGGTTGTCCCTCAGAGGACGTTAACGGACCAAGTTCCTAGTTTTACCCCGTCGTGGTACTTTGTGGAGTCACGCATCACTTCTCGCTCGAGAGTGTGTTTCGCATATTCTCGTACGGAATGTCCCGGTGTCTCGATTCTCGCACAACATTGTACCCACCATCAAAGCAGCACCATCACGTTCCAGCTCATACTTCTTCTATTTCACTGGTTGTGCCCGTCCTTTTTGCGCGACAGGGCGTAGTGTGTTGCATCTTTCCCGTTCATCTGCATATTTCCCTCCATTACTTTCCGATCATGTCAAGTTCCCTCTGTTTCATGGTTCCACATTGTTTCGGGTTTGCGGAATTTGGTTTTCCACGATTTGGTCGATCAAGCATTAGGAAATGGATCACCGCAGTTTTACAATGTGATCACCACCTTTTCTTCTTTCCATCTCTTTCCAGCTATATCATTTTCAATTTTTTATTTTGTAAATCGGAAATAAACGTATTTGGAAATGTAATACGCTCGGGGAATCTTTTAAAGATCTAGTTATCGGAGGAAAATGCGTAACGAGTGATGCACTAAGCACTTCGTGGTCTAGTTGAATAGAATCCAACTTGCTATGTGGATCGAATTTCATCAAACTCTCCACTGTGCCATCAGTATTGCATCGTTGAATGCCTTTTGGACCATTATTTGCCCGAAAACCTGCCCATACAACATGATTGAAACATGTCATTGACTATCGCACGCCGTACAGTCCTATGTTTGACTTGTGGAAAGTTCAGCAGTCTCGGTGGGATTAGAACCCACTCTTGATCGTCTCCTACGTCTTTTGTTCAGTTCTACCAGCTGAGCTACGAGGTCACACCGATGGCACTGATTTTTTCACATTTGGATTATCTGTCTAATTTACTGAGGCATATGGAATCCACCAGGTAGCATATTAACTGGCTGCCACCACAGGTTTTTCTCAGAATCTACCGAATGAACTAAGGTAAGGTTAATTGTTCAGTGTATATATATATATACTGAACAATTATATATAGATGACTTGCGCGAGGGCTCAATACTCCCAGGTTTTCCAGGCCAAAAAAATGAATTTTCTTGGGGGAATTCATGACAGAAACCCTTGACTAACCAAAACCTAACCCGGTGTTTGAAAACCACGGTTACTTGGGGGCCGATATACAGTTCATCGGTTTATCTACTCTTCGGACGGGGTCAGGATTTTTAACTAACCTCTAGATGACCCGACCTGGGTTTTGGCTTTTAGTCCTTTCACTCTGGCGGTAAAACACGTTCGCCACAGCAAGGGAGTAAGTAGAGTTTCCCCAACTGGTTTTATTTGTGTTGAGATTGGTTTGAACGCTTGAACCCTATGCTGGTGACATTTATTGCATACGGGATATCCACCATAAGTCTTGCTGACTTGACTGAAAAAAAGCTAGCACGATGGATTGCAGGATTCATTTTAAACCGAGATTATTTATTTCTCTCACATTGTGTGCTACGGCACATATAAATATAGTCGAACATTACACAGCTTTGCATGACCTAAACCATGCCACGATGACGAACGGATGTTTATGATTCATTGATTTCACTCTTACCATGATGGGCAACAACTGTGCCCGGAATAAAACAAACAACTTCCGACAGCTAAGGTACGATTTCTAATCTATATAGTCGTGAAATGTCACAACGGATACATGAACATAGGACCGTATTGTGAAGGAATTTCCTGTCGATATTTCCGTGGGCCATCCACCTATGTAGGGCGATAAATTGAGATGCAAATATAAATTTTTCCTAAACTAGATAAGAGTGAGTGCGTGATGTACATTCGCTCTGCAACAAAATAACAGTTTGGTGAGTGGGTTTGTTGACTTGATGAAATCAGAAAATGAATATTTTTCCGAGACGGAGAGAAAGATGCGGAACGAAGCAACCGGTATACCGAGGTATGGAGTCTGGTCGGATATGGGGTTACCAGCAATTGAAAATTGTGTTGATCATTTGTGATCAGTGACCCAAACATACTCCATCTTCCTAAGATTGTGATGTATTCTATAGGCTGAAATTTCGTACGCAACTCTTTAAAATATAGTCGCGCCATTGCGCAGACCATTTGAACATTTTTCTGGTTGTCAATCTTATCAACCTAGTGAGGCCTGCATAAAAATGTGGGTGGATAGTTCATGTGCGACCCCAAACGACTAAGTTCTTGGCGTCGACATAACTGAGAAGTTAGTGTTGTTTTTTGTTGTGAACTCAGGAGAACTGGCCCTACGAGTCTCAATGTAGTTCCAGTTATTGTTTGTAACAATACGTCGCAGGATATTTATGCTCACTTGTCAGAATCAATTAAGTTTTATTTATTAAGTTAATTTAAATTTACTTTAATTTCTCCGAATTCGGGGGAATTTTTCAAATGGAAAATTGCAATTTTTTCAAATTCTTGCGATATTCCGGTCGAGTTCACGAGGGGTAAAATGGCGACACTGAGGAAATTTCCATCATGGAAAACGCATTTTGAACCCGCTAAGTTTTATATTTAGTAGCAAACTTTTGAAAATCGAAGAAGTTTATTAAATGTCATCATAGCAATGTATAACGCATGAGGTAAAGGTTAAACCGTGTTATGTTCATTGCGCACGGATAGCCGAGGCTAGTTCGAATCAAATTACGCACTCATCCGATGACGCTAGGAAAGAAGAGGTTTTCCTCGACCATCTTTTGTGACTTGTGCTCAACTGCGTCAGCTCTAGCAATGATTCCATTTCTATGGAATAGTAGTGATCTGAACATGCTGAGGCTCTTAGGCGTCAAGTAGCGTAGTGTGAAGACTGTTAAGTGAATAATCAAGAAAGGTCTGTGCATAGATCCTCATTTATTTGACGTGACAGTTAAATCCGTTTTTAACGGTTAAAAAGCGCATTTATTGCTGCCGAATATCGTCTCGTAATACAGTAAAAAAATACATAACTGTATTCGTTGAAATACGATCTCATCAATGAGCTGAAAAGCCAAGGAGCACTGTACAGCTGTTTTGACCTGGTTGGGTCTCATCAGCAGTGCGAATTTATCGAACCTGGGACTTCCCCTGCAGAACGCATGCATACCACCCACTCTGTCACCGGGCAGCTGATCAGACCGTTTCTCATTTTAAATATGCATGATATCGCACATTCCATCTTTGCGAGCTTGTTATGGAGAATGGATCTCGCTCATCTCAGTATTAACCTCCAGGGAAATGACTCGATTCGAAACTTTCACAACCTGACTGTTTGATGTATGAGAGTAATGGAGGATTTGATTTGTTCATATGATGAATTCGTTCGATCCCCAGTTGGATCGATAGATTCGAGCACTGATGAGACCCAATCAAGTTGAAACAGTTGTCCAGTGGTTCCCAGCTTTTCAGCGCACGCCTCACTTACAGCATGAGTTAGTCATGTAAACTAGTCAAATACTCCCAACTTTGGCGGTAGTCAACTTTGCTTTTGTCCGTTTCTGTACCACGCCTAAACTAGCAGGGCCTTATGGTTCACAACTTCAAGTCCCGGAGCTAAGTTTACCAGTTTCTATCACCGAAAAGCAGGTCTCCGTAACTATAGGGTCCGCACCGTCTGCTGTTCATTACACAAATGTGTGTAATAGAAAACCGGTTATCGCTCAAATGCCGGTTATTCTTCTCACCACCACTAGTAAATTGCCGGTGATCAAGTTTGAATTTGATATCATTTGTGAGTTTAGTTAATCATATAAAAACGTTTGAAGTTCAAGCTATGGGGACAGAGTTGAAGCTGAGTTTCTCCGAAATTATCGAATCCTGGAAACAACGTGCCCCCGCCCTCCCCCCTGTGTAGAAAATATCGTTCAAGGTTAAAAATAATTATTGAATTAGACGAGTTTTCAACGACTCGTCTTCTTTGGTCAGTACTTCGCAATGTATATAACTGGTGTGAAAGAGTTTGATAAGTTCACCCAAAAAGAAATCAACTTGAAAATAGCTATTGTCTCCTATTTCCACCCGTGACAGCAGTCCGGATGCGCGGGTGAATGTACGGCCGAAAGACCAAGCCTGTATCAGATGGCAACTATTCTTCAAGACAGTATTACCTTGTGTGTGAAATTGTTATTCTTTATACCCTAATTATACAAGGTGTGATGTACTATCCAGAAAAAGAATCGTTCAAAGCAAGTCTGGCAAGTTAAATCGTATTTTATCTAAAAAAGCCTAGTATGCCGTTTTAAATTTCAATTCCGACATCACCTACTTAAATAGTTTGGTAGTAGTCAACTGTATATTGATTAAAATTCGATGCGCAGGCTCAAATTGAAAATGGGCGTTAAGAATTCTATACTTTCTGAAATTCAAGTCCAACCGTTGTAGCTTCAAATGGATCCAACCAACCTCATTCCACTGGAAACCGTACAAGATGATCGGTGCCTCGGCCGTCAACCGTCACCGATCTGATCGGGTCTGTCTAATTTCCGTCCGTTCGGAATGAACTAATTCCTCCACAAACAAAGTACTTTTTAAGTGAGCTGCCGAGCGAGGATTAGAGTTTGAATGGTTGAGATCTGAACATTTGTACGTCTCTTCCACTACGCACAGGAAAAGATATGCTCTTAAGCGTTGATCGAATGAGCTTATTGGACTGGAATAAACTAACCCGACGATAATTGACCTGAATCGGTGGTATAGACAGGTGTACCGTGACAAATTGGGTCGCTGGCTACAAACAAGTGCGAACTGTTGCATGGGTTGGTTCAACTTATACCCTAGGCGACATAATGGTTAGAATCCTGTTGAAGGTTTCCGTAGAACTTTCCCACTTTTATGAGACGAGCGCATTTGCCTATTTTTCAACATTTAAAGGCACAAAAGCTTAACAATAACCGTTGAATATGAAGTAATAAATAATAAACACTATCCACTTAGTTACGAATTAACCCGAATCAGATTTCCTTCAGTGAACCTAGACTAACTATTGCATTGTGCACACGTTGCAAATGTCAGACCCCCTAATACCCAGTGTCTTACAATT